AAATAAGGCAACTCCTACTTTTGGTCCAGCCACATTGGCCCCTGAGGCAAGGCAACCATACAAAGCCTTGAGATGTGGAGGACCTAAAATCTCACAAATTACTATCTCAATAAAAGTAGCCTCCCAGGGCTGTCATATGCTGGAGAAGAGTCAGGTTGAAGGAGGGTTAAATAGCTCCTGTGGATTTGAGAAATAAGATCAAACTATTAAAAGAAAAAAGTTCAACTTACTACCCATTTGTGTGCGCTATTCTCACAGAAATTGGAAAATTGAATATTTATGTGTAAGGTGTTTTTTCTTAAGTGCAGATATCTGATATTTACATAGGGATATATCTTTAAATAGGGAAGGCTGTCTCCAAAAAGTTTTGGGTCTCGGAACCACAGAGTACCAGAGGTAAGAGACTCCTTATTCTTTGTGTAAATTACTCACTCTGTCCAATCTTCTGGCTTGCCTTCTCTGAAAAGGAGTAATCATTGCATTCTTCACCCATCACCCATTTGAAGATAACAATGCCAATTCCACTTAATAAAATCCCTTAAATACATCTCCACCCTTCAGTATATACTTTTTTTTTGAAATTCTATGTGACAAAATAGGAAATATACATAAATCACTTCTGCTACCTTTCAAAGCATGATGATTATCTCAAGAAAAAGCCTTTGTGCCACTGAATTTTGATCTGAACTAGCTGTTCTCCATGAAGCGTAAACTTAATTTTTTACTTGAAAGAATGACTGATGAGCCAACTGTGGTTAGTCAGACTTGGGTATTAGGCAGACATTTCTTCAATGATGAATTAATTGAGCCTGTCACTTAAAGGAAAACAGTTCACAGTATTTGTGGCAGTCAGACCCTAAGATGACTCCCCAACATTTCCCTTCCTGGCATTTATGCTTTATGTAATCCCCTCCCCTTGAGTGTGGACCTGTGATCTGTTACCTTCTTCTGACCAATGGATTACAGAAAAGGAGATGGGATACCACTCTTGTGATTTTGTTGTGTATATGACTCTGACTAGCAGACTGGAGCTAGACACTCCCTTTGCAGGCTTGATGAATCAAGAGCCCATGTGCCCATGTTGGAGAAATTCACTTGGCAAGGAATTTCAGACAGCCTCTAGGAACTGCAGGTGGATCCTAGGACCTGAGAAAGGATTCCATTGGACAGCCAGCAAAAAGGTGGAGCCACGAGGAAATCAATCCTGCCAACAACCTGAATGAGCTTGGAAGTTGGCCACAGCCTGGTCAACATCTTTATGGCAACCTATGAGACACTGAGCAGAGGACCCAGCTAACCATGCCTCAGACTCCTAACCCCTGGAAGCCATGAGATAACAAATATGCTTTATTTTAAGATGCTAAGTTTGTTGTCACTTGTTAAACAACAATAGAAAATTAAACAGCATTTGTTGCCAATGATAAAATGTGAACTTTTAAGCAAAATTATAATTTTGGAAGACATACCGTCTTGGTCACTTGATTAAACTATGAGCTTCACACCTTCCAACACTTTTTTTTTTTTAACACCTTTATTGGAATACAATTGCTTTACAGTGGTGTGTTAATGTCTGCTGTATAACAAAGTGAATCAGCTATATGTACACATATATCCCTATATCCCCTCCTTCTTCTGTCTCCCTCCCACCCTCCCTATCCCACCCCTCTAGGTGGTCACAAAGCACCGAGCTGATCTCCCTGTTCTATGCAGCTGCTTCCCACTAGCTATCTATTTTAAATTTGGTAGTGTATATATGTCAATACTACTCTCTCACTTTGTCCCAGCTTACCCTTCCCCCTCCCCATGTCCTCAAGTCCATTCTCTACATCTGCATCTTTATTCCTGTCCTGCCCCAAGGTTTTTCAGAACCATTTTTTTTGAATTCCATATATATGTGTTAGCATACGGTATTTGTTTTTCTCTTTCTGACTTACTTCACTCTGTATGACAGTCTCTAGGTCCATCCACCTCACTGCAAATAACTCAATATTGTTTCTTCTTCTTTTTTTTTTTTTAGCATCTTTATTGGAGTATAATTGCTTTACAATGGTGTGTTAGTTTCTGCTTTATAACAAAGTGAATCAGCTATACATATACATATATCCCCATATCTCTTCCCCCTTGCGTCTCTCTCCCTCCCACCTTCCCTATCCCACCCCTCTAGGTGGTCACAAAGCACGGAGCTGATCTCCCTGTGCTATGCGGCTGCTTCCCACTAGCTATCTATTTTACATTTGGTAGTGTATATATGTCCATGCCACTCTCTCACTTTGTCACAGCTTACCCTTCCCCCTCCGCATGTCCTCAAGTCCATTCTCTAGTAGGTCTGTGTCTTTATTCCCGTGCTACCCCTAGGTTCTTCATAACTTTTCCCTTTATTTTTTTAAATTGAAGTATAATTGACATACAATGTATTAGTTTCAGGTTACAACATAGTGATTCAACTTTAATATATACATTACAAGTTGATCATCAGTGTCTAGTAACCATCTTCAATAACCATGAAGTTATTGCAATATTATTGACAATATTTGCTCAGCTGTTCATTACATCCCTGTGACATTTATTTTATAACTGGAAGTTTGTACCTCTTAATTCCCTTCACATATTTTGCCTATCTCCTCAAACCCTTCCCTTTGGCGACCCCCAGTTTGTTCTCTGTATCTATGAAACTTTCTGGTTTTTTTTTTTTCAGATTTCACATATAAGTGAAATCATACAGTATTTGTCTTTCTCTGTGTGACTTATGTCAAGATAATACCCTCTATGTCCATCCATGTTGCCGCAAATGGCAAGATTTCATTCTTTATTATGGCGGAGTAATATTCCATTGTATATGTATACACCACATATTCTCTATCCATTCTTCTATCTGTGGAGACTTAGGTTGCATTTTCTCAATATATCTTAATGATCTGCTCTCCCTCAACTTTATGCTGACTTTTTGTCTTATATGGATTAACACGTTTCCCTTCTGAAACCTGCCTAAAATTTTCTTTCTCTTTTTTATTTACTGCATTTACTTTCATGTTCTACTGTGAGAGGTACCGTGTGTGTGTGTGTGTGTGTGTGTGTGTGTGTGTGTGTGTGTTTATTCCCGTGCTACCCCTAGGTTCTTCATAACTTTTCCCTTTATTTTTTTAAATTGAAGTATAATTGACATACAATGTATTAGTTTCAGGTTACAACATAGTGATTCAACTTTAATATATACATTACAAGTTGATCATCAGTGTCTAGTAACCATCTTCAATAACCATGAAGTTATTGCAATATTATTGACAATATTTGCTCAGCTGTTCATTACATCCCTGTGACATTTATTTTATAACTGGAAGTTTGTACCTCTTAATTCCCTTCACATATTTTGCCTATCTCCTCAAACCCTTCCCTTTGGCGACCCCCAGTTTGTTCTCTGTATCTATGAAACTTTCTGTTTTTTTTTTTTTCAGATTTCACATATAAGTGAAATCATACAGTATTTGTCTTTCTCTGTGTGACTTATGTCAAGATAATACCCTCTATGTCCATCCATGTTGCCGCAAATGGCAAGATTTCATTCTTTATTATGGCGGAGTAATATTCCATTGTATATGTATACACCACATATTCTCTATCCATTCTTCTATCTGTGGAGACTTAGGTTGCATTTTCTCAATATATCTTAATGATCTGCTCTCCCTCAACTTTATGCTGACTTTTTGTCTTATATGGATTAACACGTTTCCCTTCTGAAACCTGCCTAAAATTTTCTTTCTCTTTTTTATTTACTGCATTTACTTTCATGTTCTACTGTGAGAGGTACCGTGTGTGTGTGTGTGTGTGTGTGTGTGTGTGTGTGTGTGTGTAGAAAGAAAGGGAGAGAGAGAGAAGGTACATGTGTGCCTCTGTGTCAGCATGTATTTGTGTGAGTGCATTTTCATATGGGAGAGGGGGTGAGGATCACCTTCTCAGGCTCCTCCTAGGGCACACACTGTTGATGCTACTCTCCTTCCTGCTACAGCATTGGGGTCTTCATATTGGGGATTCAGTGAAAGAAAAAAAATAAAGACTAAGTTGATTGAATCAGTGTGTGTGTGTGTGTGTGTGTGTGTGTGTGTGTGTGTGCATGCATTTTGTAATTTGGGGAATCTGTGTGTGTGTCTCTCTGTGTGTGAGTGTATGGGTAGGTATGTGTTTGTGGATGTAGATGTGTGTGTCTCTGTCTGTGAGTGTTAGTGTCTAAGAGCTTGGTTCCATGTGCTGGGGCATCAGGAAGGGAGGATGAGTGAAGAATAGATAATCATGTTGAAACAGGAATAATAATAATAATAAAGAAATAAGAACAGAATAAAGGCGATTTGGGTGCATGGGCTCAGAGTCAGAGGTGGCATGAGACAGCCACCATCTACACTCAGATATGAAGAATATACTCAAGGGCAAGAAGACAGCCCTACTCTAGCTCAGGTTGCTCAAAGTAACAGGTTCTCATGGCCTTGCCTGCTTTCCCAGTGCCAACCCAGCAATGCCTGTGAATACAACCATCACACACACACACACACACACACACACACACACACACACACACACACACATGTTTCTAGTGCTGAGATCA